TCGCCAGGAAAGACACCCAAAGTAATTACCCTTCGAGAAGAAGGTTACACAAATCAAGAAATAACAAACAAATTGAGTGGTGGCGCCATAAAATCAGGTGTATTGAAATTTTGTAAACGTTATCATAACACTGGAACGACAAAATCAGAAAAAAGAGGCAGAAAACTGCCAGTTAGTCAATGAGATGAGCGTAGAATATGCTGACTTTCTTTAGACGATCGTCGCAGATCCGCAAAATAAATTATTGCTATTGTCAAATCAACTCGCTTATAAGTATTGGACCGCACTATCAGAAGAAAGTTGTGTGAAAATGGATTGCGAGTACGAACTCGTAGAAACAAGCCTTCCTGGACAAAAAGCGGAGGCAAAAACTCATTAGTTGGGCTTTGACACACAGAGGGTGGACAGAAGAACAGTGGAGTAAGGTAATTTGGGGTGATGAAACCAGAATCTCGATCTTTGGGAGTGACGGAGTGAAGTTTGTTCGCCGCCGACCAGGGAAAGACCTTTTGTCCCAGTGTACTACGACACTATGAAGCATCCTGTGAGTGTCATGGTATGGGCTTGTATGACCACTAATGGAGTTGGACGTTTAGCAGTAATAGTAGAGGGCAAAAAATATCAGGAAGAGATACTGCAAGCCAAACTGCTGCCGACTATAAGAGATTTGTTTGAAATGGATGCCCAACAATCCATCTTCCAGCAGGATAGAGCGCCTTGTTATATAGGTACAAATAGCCATGCTGCTCGCCAACATTCGGTAGCGAATCGCTATTCAAACTAAAAGATTTTAGATAGTGATTTGGACAGGCAAACACCCGCTCTCGTTCCATGATAAATGGATAATGTAATTGACTTTTGCACTCTATAAATTAACTAGAATACCTGAAGAATAATCATTTGAGCAATAACATGTTTAAAGTTGTAGAAGATTTGGAAGAAGAATTAGCTAGCTTTAAAATTTTTCTATAATTGCTTTCTGCGGCTACTGCTAAGATTGTTACACTAGCAGCCTGAAAAATGATTAGTACCATGCTCTCCAATATCCGATACTCATAGATGTTTCAAAAAGAAGTAGACAGAGCTAAATGCTGTCCAATTTGTAATTTTTGGTATGTCTTACGTATGCAGACAGAGAACACACATGAAAACGAATAGATAAATGAGAACCAGTGAGCAAGTGAAAAATAAAGTAGATAATGTCAAAGATATTTAACAAAGAACAAAAGCAGGCAGTAAAACTAAATCATGGAAATACAAAAGGGGAAAACGAGACCTCATATAAGATTAAATAAACATCGACGACGAAGTTGATTACTCTTGAGGTGAGTCTAACTCTCCCAAAGATGCTAAATAGCAATACGCTTTTATATAGCCTTGTCAAATTGTAGATTGAGGTGGGTACTGATTTATCGAAAATGATGGACGAAGCATATGACAAGGGCCGAAGAGAAGGCGTTCATCGGTTGTTCATCGACTTATGGTGGCGTAGTTCCTCCATTCGATAGAAACACCGTAATTGCAGATCACACAACAAACGATTGCTTTCAGAATTGTTAGTACTTTCTTTAGTAACTCTTGAGGTTAGCTATGACTAGTCTCTCTTCTAGGGCAGGTATAGTTGGGCAATGAGATTGGGAAACTACAGAAAATCAGTCTCCTCCTATCCTTTGTGTATTGACTTGACTCTGAATGAATATGTTGCGGACGACCACTATCCAACGTGTGGATTTAAGTTAATGTATGATTTAGGCTTGTAGGTGTTGGTTGGTGAGTAAAAGCCTTCTGGTAGCTGGGTGCTTAGGGAATGAATGTGACGAGCATTAGTATCGAGTTTGTTGGATAAATCTTTAATTTATGCTAAGGTTGTACATCGACTTTGACTTGGCTTGTTCGTACTTTTTTTGTGAAATGTCGTTACATAAACAGGCGACGTCGTTCCTTTTTTTTTCAAAGAAGACGTTGAAGAGGATCATATACATGAAGTAAATTAACAACTTCATGTATACTGAACATTCATGTATAAGAAACATGCTAAAGCCATATTATTAAACATAGATACGAACAAATTGAAGAGATCTGTAATGAAAACTGGATGATATAAGATACGTATTAATATCTGCAAGATACAAACAATACGATCAGCTACATAACAAGGAATGCAAGTGACAGACATTTCTGGCACGTTTTGGTAGACACAGTCTAGAGAAGATGAAGATTGAGCAAAAGGTCGTAGGTAAACGAGGTAGAGACAGATTTAACATAAGATTAAATTACCACATTAAATGGCATAAGAAAAACGTCGGAAAGATCAACTCATGAAGTCCTGATAACACTATACCTATACCAAGTTATGATATATATGTTAATAGTACAATGGCAAATCTGAAGAGAGTATTAATTTTGATAATTAACAAACAGTTAGTTGTTAGTACTTATTAGTACAAATGCATATCATTGGATTAATTAGCAGCCGGCGTTCTCGTATTTGTCATATAAAAACTATTACAAGATAAATGGCAGCTATAAACTTTCACAGCGGAAATACACAATATTTGTAAAAGTAGCCTATTAAAGAACGAACACAGTACAAAAACTCTCGTAAAACTTAAAACAAATACCTTATTGTACTTTTCGATAAAAAGTGAAATACAGCTTGGTTTTTCTCGTTTTACAAGCACCCATAAATTATTTTAGTGTCAGTATAAATTTATTGCCGCAGTTTAACGGCAGGTGGCATCCAGAAGGCCGAGAAAAGGGCCAGCGGTCAGGCAGTACCTAATATCGTGGGTACTCTGCTGCACTGCAGGGTACCATAATCTTCTTGTTTCGCCGAAAAACCCAAGTCGTTTGCAAAAACTTTTTTAAGTCCGGCTAGGAATTTTTATGGGTTTCATTTCGTTAACCACTAAACTATTATCTCCTTGATGAATCATGACGAATCATTCGGTCTCGTAAAAATGTTTACGAAATATTTATGCCCAAGTATAGAAGACCACAATGTATAAAAATTGTGTGTATATATTTTATATTGAATTATATTTCAATAACAGTTGGTACAGTTTTACCCTTTTTACAAAATCATGTATTGTAAACTCGGGACAATATATTTCGTGCAAGTTCACTCAATATATTTCTTGATTAATTAGTCTTGATACATGGTCATATTTGTGATTTATTGGTCGATATATCTTTCTAATTAACCATAAATATCTATTTAACGTTGTAGGCGACCGTCTCCATTCTTCTTGGGTTTGAGTTCGATTCGTCTATCTGAATCAAGTTTGTCTCTTTAAGACAGCGGTGTTTATTTGCTTTTTTTTCTTCTACATTATATTTAGACGATCTGCTATACATTGTTTATCTCTTTTATTGCTCTTATGCTTTTCACTCTCTTATATTTTAGTCTGCTAATATGTACATGGTTTTATACTACTAAGGTTATTTTTTGTGACTTCTTAATGCAATGCTTTAATATTTTTATTGGGAATAAGCCACAATATTACTTTAAAGTACGTTTATCTTTTCGTTTCGACTTCCACTTCGAAAATCGTTTGAAATTTCAAAACGTTAAATTGTTTTTGGTACTTGAATGCTCACTTATTCTAACACGTAATAGTCCTGATGTTTCTCCTAGATAAAAATTTTCGCATTCACATGGTATTTTATAAACATAAGTTTTTTTCTTTCTTAATCACTACTAGGTTTAGTTAAGTCATAGATCTCACACATTAGGTCTCAATGTCTTTATTGTTTTGAATATTGTTAAAGTGTGGAATTTATTTTCTATCGTTTTAAGATTCTCCGGTAATCCTTTTATGTATGGTGTTATTTGCTATTTTCCTCGTATTATTTTTTGTGAATGTTATAGGATCCTGTTCTAAGTTGTTCTGTTCGATTCATCCCATTCTTGAAAATGACTTATAAACGGCATAATAATTTTTTAATAAAATAGATATTAACAAATTTTCTCCTCTAAGAACAAGTAATTTTGGCTCTATAGCATAAGGATTTAATGATACCCTTTTTAATATCGATCTTCTTCTTCGCGTGCCATATCACAATTATCCGACGTTGGCGATCATCATTGCGAAGGCTTCTTCTCAATCTTCTGCATTTGGTATCTGAGTCCATTCACGAATGTTTTTTAACCAAGAAACTTGTTTTCTTCCTACACCTCTACCTTTATTTTGCCTTTAAGGATCAGTTATAATATTTTATATCTACTTTCCCTTACTATGTGTCCCAGATAAGACATTTTTCAATGTTTAACAGTCTTTAGCAGTTCTCTATTTTTGTTGACGCTCCTTAGTACTTCTTCATTAGTTTTCTTTGCTGTCCAAGGTATCTTCAGTATTCGTCTATGAACCCACATTTCCAGTGCTTCAATTTTGTTCATGATCGATACTTTTAGCGTCCACACTTCTGCACTATACAAAAGTACGGACGAAACTTAGCACTTAACTATTCTTTGCCTATGTCTAAACTGAGATGGTTATTGCAAAGTCTGGATCTAGTTGGTCCGTTATCACAGTTCCCAAATATGTCATTTTGTGAACTTTCTCAACTTGGACTCCGTTTAATTAAAGCTTTGCATCGGGATGTGGGTCACGATTAAACACTAAAAATTTGGTTTTGTTTGAGTTTATTTCAATGCCCATTTCCTCTCCTACCTCGTGAATACGATTAAGCAGAATTTAAAGACCTTCAATAGACCTAACCTTCAATATTATCTGATAGAATTACTGTATCGTCTGTATATCTAATCACATTAAGTAGTTCCCCGTTAATTTTTATTCCGTATGGTTGTCTTTTAAGTGCGTTTTTAAATAACTGGTCCGACTAAACATTGAACCATGTTGGCGACAAAATGCAACCTTGTCTGACTCCTCGTTGTATAGAGATTTGATCTCCAATTTTACGATAGGTTGATAGATGAGTTTTAATTACACGAATATCCTTGTCATCTATTCCGATATTTCTCAGTATTTGCATTAATTTTACATGCTGTACTTTATCGAATGTCTTTTCAAAGTCCACGAAACATGCAAATACATCTTTTCTTTGGTCACGACATTTTTTTAACAGGATGTTAAATGCAAAAAGTGCCTCCCTGGTTCCCATAGCATTTCTAAAACAAAATTGGTATCTTCAAGATCTTCTTCGCATTTGCGTCTAATTCTTTTGTGACGTATTCTGAGGAAAATTTTAAGAGTGTGGCTCATTAGGCTAATTAATCGATATTCTGAGCATTTTCTCGCATTGTGTTTTTTAGGTATTGTGACAAAGATGGATTTGAGCCAATCTGCGGGAATCACTCCGGTGTTATATATAGAATTAAAAAGTCTTACTACTACTTTTATGTTATCATTCTCTATTAGTTTTGAGCAACTCAGTTGGTGTATCATCTGAACCACAAGTTTTTCTAATTTTAGCATTATTTATCACGTGTACCTCGCATTTCATAATTTCTGGGCCATAATCCAGAAAAGGTAGTGTGTTATTATGTTTCTTCTTTATGGTAAATTGTTCTAGTTTTATGGTCTGTTTATATTATTCAGGAATTTGTTCAACAACTCTGATCCATGAGGACATATTGAGACATCATCTACATATTATCTCCACACGATACTGTGGATTTTAAATTTTGTTTAGAAATAATATTTGTTTCAAATATATTATATAGTAGTATAAGGGTCACTTGAACCAGACGGTCAAATACCCAAAAATAGAAAAATGCCAAAAAAATACAAAACATACGAAAAATTCAAAAAAACATACAAACAATAGAAAAAATACAAAAAATATTAAAAATACAAAAATTACGAAAATATCAAAAATGCAAAAAATACAGAAAACAAAAAATATGAAAAATGCAAAAAATACAGAAACACGAAAAATACAAAATCAAAAGTAGGTACTATCGAAACGTCAAATAAAGTTATTTTAAAGTAAATTTGTGATTAATTCCCAATAAAAAATAGTATATTATTTTATACTATATTCATTGTTTCTATATACTATATTCATTGTTTCTATACAATTCTAAGCGAGCAATTTATATCAGTTTGTGCCAGTAACCACAAATATTGACAATTTTGACATCTACATACACAGCCTGCTATGCTAAAATAAAACAATAAATATCTCACCTTTGACATTAACCCACAAATATCTCGAAAATTATAGTAATATTTAAAAGACAATTAATATATGTTTTCATTAAAATTAATAAAATACAGGGAGAAATAATATTCATTTAAAAATATTGAATTCCTATGGTTTGGAATTTAAAGAAGTGGCGTTTCATTTGTGAACCCGCTCAATTTAGAAATTGTATTTCGATGTAAATTAGTGAAAAAACGTTACCTACTCTTTGTATGCAAAGATTTTTAAGACACGTTAAGATATTAACTTTGAAAATATTGTCTCCATCTGTCAAAATGTTTGAAAAAGGATGAATAACTCAAAAAATATAAGGGTTTTATTATATATAAATATAATTTTGTCTAGAATTTTACCAGAATGTAAAAATTCAATTATATACAGGGCGTTCCATTTAAAATAACAAAGTTGTTGTTCACATTCGGTGTAACCGGAAGTGTCTGTCAAAATATTTTTTTAAACTTCGTCAGAACTGGTAATCCCCATAAACCAACCAATTTTCATAAATATCGTGTAAATAGAGTCCCATATATAGAGAGTGTAATCTCGTTAAAAAACACCTTGTATATTCGGTCCTCTTGTTAAAATAAAATTAAAATAGAATTGTTAAATAATTAAGTAACACCCCTTCTCATACTCCTAACACATAAAGTGAACATCACATCCATTGTAGCTTCTACATGCTTGAAAGATTCAGCAAAAATCACTGCCCGCCAAACGCCATATGTCCTGAATAGACTTTGAACCACTAGAAACTATTACCCTCTTCCCTCTAGCGTAGTCGTAGCCAGCTTTGAAAGAGCGAGCACAGTCGACTGCGATACTCAGCAACCGACTCGAATTGTCTTTAACGACGCTGTTTGTGTCGTTTAATTAAATTAATTGTTTTAGTGAAGAGTATCTGCTTTTAAGCTGGCTCGTTATTCTAATTTAATTGTTGTATTGTTAATTGTCTACTTGAAAAATTCTACAAAAGATTAGGTTACGTACGGAAGGTTATTTTTCTTACATACTGACACAAAAGACATACATTCGTGAAACATTTAAATGCTCTAATAATAGAAGAATATTATATTATTTTACTAAAATCAGTATGGTTTGAAAACATAGATTTTTTTAAATTATCTCCTATACATACGACATTTTTCATACACCTTACAGTTTAAGTTAAAAAAAACAACTTAAAATGAAAATTGATTAAAACAATAAATCTCTCATATTTCGTTAAACTAATGCTACGTCATTGCATTCCATTAAGTGTGAATCAAAGCACTCTTTCTCGCAGTTTACGAGACGACACGAGACACATACTGCAGTAGGTGTCTCAGTGGTGATCTCCATGGTAAAAAAACTTGTACCAAGGATGATTTCACTCAACAGCAGTACCTGCCTGACTCAACACACTGCTGATTGTCATGTTACGTACAAAATGTCAAAGTGATCAAACACCAGCCAAACTTTTATACATATAGTGTTCAAACACTACCTTATTATCTGAGCAATGAAGATCCCCACAGAAGAGAGCTATTTCAAAACTTGATTCAGCTGCAGTCAGCTTCTTCCTATTTCCATTTAAGGCGTTGGTAGAAGGATACTCTCGGTCTACTTGACTATTCCTAAGAGATCAAATGCAGGACACAAGTATATTATGCTGCATCGAATTGATGTGTCAGATTTTAGATTTCAAAGGGTTGTAGCCACTATTCAAAATTAGAGGAACAAGTTTGCCTCGTGCGACGAACTACCTTCACAAATGATCAATAGTGTATGAAACATATATTTAATTGGAAAGATCAAGGTGAAAGACCAAGCTGGCAAGACATGTTGTCCAAAAGTTAAATCCTATTGGAACGAATGAAATTGGAAGTGAAAGATAATCTACCGTATAGAACCTTTGAAAATGAAGATGGTAAGGAAGCTAAGCTACTGCTGATAGTACCTAAAGGTAAAGTATCAGAAACATTACGTCAGTTACATAACGGTGTTTCAGGTATTACAAAAACGTTACAAAACATTTGAGAACAGTTATATTGGGTGTACAGCAAATATGTAACAAGATAGTGTGAACAATTCGAATTGTGTGAAAAACATTAAAGATCTTTTTTGTATACCCTTCATTTATATTTTAGTGCAAAAGATATAGGCTTCTAAGAAAGATTTCATCAGGTTTTAAAAAGACCTATATTAAGTATTTATGTCGCTGGAGAACCATTGCCATGTATTTGCAGAAAATGCATTTAGCTTCTCTGCATTTTCCCAGAATTTTCATGTTGCTCTGTTTAGTTCGCCCATTTTACAGAGGTGCGACACGCGATTTCTCTGAAAGTTTTCTGAAGCTTTTTTTTAAGTATTTTTGCAAAACGATGAGAATGTTGTAATCTTTTTGCTTGGCTGTGTTTTACAAAGCCACAATGTGGATTGTTTACCATTTCGTCATAAGTTTTTGGTCTTAGGGTCTTAGAGCAGTTTGGCTGCCTTAACAATATGTAATATACTTGGGTTTGTACTTGGAGTGTCGTCTCACGTAATGGAAATGTATATGCATTAAAGTAAAAGTAAATATACATCAGAAGTAGAAATATGTATCAAATAATTGAGCATTGATCAAATATTTTTTTAGATAATAAGTTATTGGGTATGTAAAGTTATACTTTAGTCCATTTTGACAAATCAGTCGCAAATTCAAAAGTTCAGACATCCAGACATTGCATTAAATCAACGTTTAAACCAAAGTGTCATTTAACAGTGTCTTTGAAGACCGTAGAGGAGCAACATTTTATAAACTTTTGAAACAACTAAAGCCAGGAAGTATTACAGAAGATATATATTAGAATAGATGATATTATAAAACAAACTATCAAAAGAAAAGTTCTTTGGACAAATTTTTAGCAGACATAAATGCATTTTCTTTAGAAAAGTATGCGATTCTGATTCAATATGCCCCACTCACACCTTCATAACACTTACTTGGAATGTAGGAGACTTCGATAATGTTCTTGGAAACACTTTCGGAGACTCTTGACTCTTGTTTCTCTTCGGAATGACTCGTAGAACATTCTTTTTATTTTTCTGGAGCAGTTTGTTCTCCTTCTATGATATGGATCATGTAAATCGAAAGTAATCAAGAACAGAAACCAAAAAGAAAAAATATCAATCAGATAAACCAAACATTTATTTATGTTTGTTAAGTTACTGTTATTTTTAATCGTATTAATTCGAACAACCATCCATCTTAGGAAGTCGAATATGATAACAGCACCACAAGCAATCGACGAAGTGTCGTATTCAATTCGATTTAAAGCATACAAACAATTTGTCGTTTATTGACGCGACAATTTGGCAAAGTTATTTACATACCACTGTCATAACAAAGTTCTATTTTTATCGGCGGACGCTCGTTACAACGACTTGTTTAAAGTTAATTAGTGTTATGTACTCGTCCACAACAGACAAAGCTTGCAGACTACACTTAAACACATTGCTAATGCAACTTTTAATCTGATGCTCGTAATTATTTTTTAATTTCTACTCTTGGCACTCCTGATGCACCGGTCAGTCACCAGTGTGCATAAATTGCCGCTGTAAAAATTTGCTAATTTCTTCATACAGTATTCACAAATGGGTAAATAATAAACCTAAATAATTAACAATTATTTTTAATGGGAATAAACCAAAATTTTAATAATAAAAACACTTTATATTTGATATTTTGATTTTCACCTGAGAAATCCAAATGTTTCAATATACAAATTAAACACATTGGTTATTATACTTCTTCTTCTTTAAGTTCCATCTTCTATCGAAGGTTGGAAATCATCATGGCTATGCGGACTCTGTTAACTGCCGCTCTAAAAAGTTCTGCACTACTGCATTCAAACCATTCCCTTAAATTCTTAAGCCAGGATATTCTTCGTCTTCCCACATTTCGCTTTTCTCGGATTTTGCCCTGCATAATAAGTTGTAATAATGCGTATTTTTGCCCTCTCATCACATGTCCCAAGTGCTCAAGTTTTCGTCTTTTAATAGTTAATATTATTTCCGCCTCATTTCCTATCCTTCTAGTTACTTCCATGTTTGACATTCTTTGAATCCATGATATTCGTAGGATTCTTCTGTAACACCAAAATTCAAAGGCGGCCAACTTATTTAGATGAACTTGTTTTAGTATCCAAGCTTTCAAACCATAAAGAAGAGTAGAGAACACGTAACATCGAAGCATTCTCAGGCGTAGTTCTAACCTTATATCCCGACAACAAAGAAACTTTTTAAGTTTAATAAATGATGTACGTGCTATTTCAATACGTGTCTTAATTTCTTTGGTTTGGTCTACATCTGATGTTATCCATGTTCCTAAGTATTTATAGTTATTAACACTCTCAATTGCAGTAT